TATTTTCATGACTAATTAGTAACGAAGTTTAAGCGTCAGAACCAATCTGGTTCAGAAAATTCCAAAAGTTATCATAGCGTTTCAGTCTCTCTTACCATTTGATGAGTCCTCATGTGACTCAATAACTAATGTGATATTTTTTACCATTATAAGGCCTGTGTTCAGCAACAGTAAGGGGGATAGAGACCTGTAGTTAATTTGATTCCTTGTCATTATGCTACTCCAGTAGGACGATTTACAGTGTATTTTAGTCAGTTCTATCATAAGCGACTGATCATGCACGCAGAACTATCAAAGGCGATGTAGATGATGGGTTGTGGTTTAGTAGGAAGGATGAAGTCGACCGATGATCACGCCTCAGTGTTCCTCATAATCTTTTATGGTCTAAACGATGTAGGTTTCTTTGCAATATTCTATTTTGTGAGGACAATAACGGACTATGATGCAGATCGAACCATTCGATGTAGTATAAAAGTTGCATAAATAAGTAGCATATAAAAATGTAAGATTCGCACATATTCAGTGAAATTTCGTAACAATAGTGTTGACATCCTGTTCCATATTATATGCACAATATGAGTGGGAATAGTGAACCACTTACTATTATATTATGAAATCATGTATCAGTGACTAACAATAATCTAAAAAAGAACTTTTAACCCTAGTAACAAATAAGTACAGCTGTGAACTTCTTGTTATATCAATGTAAATTTCTTCAAATAATACAAAACATTTAAATATTTGTCTTTCTTTGCATTTATATTTAAACACAACAGCTGTTTACAATAATAATCCTTTTTTTAAAGTAAATATATGTGAGATAAAGCTGGTATTATCTGTCAAACTGTAAATGTACTAATAATACTAATATCATACCAGTACTAATATATAATATAATCAACAGACCTTACATTAATCAGTATTACTTATATGAATAGAATTGGAAATAGTGAATCTTAAACAAACTATTCATGACAAAATAGTTATGTACATTATTGTTAATAAAAGCAAATTATGTAATAAGCTCATATCTCTAATAGATAAACATCTATATATTTCTTTTTTCTTTAAGACTATTATTTGTAATCTATTTTTCCTAGGTAGTTATAGTTCTATGCTAGGCTTATTTGTCCTTTTAATATTGTTACTTTTCTGAATAAGATAATCTCAGCAATAAATTAAATAGGGCAGAATGTAAATGTAAAATTATTACAATGATGATGAATAAAAATCGTGAAAATGACTATACTTGATATGTTTATCTGTAAGCACATGGTAACATGGACATACACAAACATACAGTTCTCAATGGGGAAAATATATGCTAATAAAGAATTTGTTGAATTGATTATTTTATACATCTTGTACCATGACGTAATATTTGTCACCATCTTGGTATAAATTAACTCTTTTCTGAAATATGACGGGAATAAGTTAAAGAAGTACTAGACAGTTATTTTTTTATGTTCTGAAACTTTCGAGAAATACAGACATTCAGATTTTGCAACTCACAAGATAGTGGTTAAAATAGCAAACTGGAATTTATTGTGGAAAACACTATCCTACTTCTAGTTTCTTATTATGAATCTCATTAGATTACCAAATAATTGTTCATAAACCATTTAAAAATCAATATAGAAAACTACTTTTGCCGTAGTAGCTTTAAATTGCTCAATTCAAAAAGAAAAAACAATCTTTATCATAAGTCTATGTCAGGTGAAAAATACTTAACACAATTAGAAACCATTTATGCTAGTTAGTATTTTATAGGGAATATGTCAAAGACAAATGTCACATGAAAAAATATATCTTGAACCTTAAAGCAAACGACAGAAGTTTGTTCTATTTTTGGAATAAAAAATGAACAGTAAAATGATTCAATTGTTTAGAAATTCTTGACTTTCTATGTTTCCTCAATTCACTTTTGTTTTAAAGACCAAACAGAATGTACTACTGGGAAGTCCCACAATAGGACGAAACGGCCGTTCAGTGCCTCTAGGTTTTCCATGGTGGCCTAGCATCAATTGACTCATAAACTTCACCATTGAAATGACTATAACATCCACAAAAACCCATTTTCAGAATTTTTTTCATCGGGTCAGTATGATGCAGTAAACATGTTTTAAAGTAACAAGAGTAAACTTTATTTATCTTGAAAGTGAAAATGTCTTTTCTTTAAAATAAACCTACTTTCATAAGGCATTCAACTTCTTACAGTGTTTATGAATATACATAGAAATAATACACATGGTAACTCTGTTAATTTATGTGAATATACTTTCAAAACAATGTTAAATCTCATTTAGACATTTGCATAATCTATAAAATATTGAGTAGCCAAGAGATTGGAGTTATGTCATTTTTCAAGAATTCATGTATTTATTGACTAAACGAAAATACAATAAACTTCGACCAATCATTTATCTTATTTTGTCAATCTCTCCATTACATACATAACTAACTTATGTATCGTGGTTATTAATATTCAGTCTAGAATTATAGTTCAATAATATTCTATAGACAAAATTGATATCTCTTAAATAATTCAAACTAATACAGTAAACAAAAGAAACCTGATGAGTCATTTGAAAAAAAAGGACAGTTTAGCGAAGAAAATATTTTTCGGACGAAATCATTTACAATCATAAATATAGTTAACTAAAATACTTAAATCCATAATGAAATTTAAAAGAAATGGTGCATCATGTAAAATATGATTGAAGGTGTTCCAAGTATCGAAAAAATATTCAGTAATGAACCAAAGTAAGAAGCGCTGGAAGTGGATAGGACATATATTGAGGAAGGCACCTAACTGCGTTGCAAGGCAAGCCCTCACATGGAATCCTCAAGGTCAAAGGAAGATCAAAGAACACATTACGTCGAGAAATGGAGGCAGACGTAAGAAGAATGATCAACAATTAGATAGAACTAGTAAGAAACGGCCAAGACAGAGTGGGTTGGAGAATGCTGGTCGGCGGCCTATGCTCCATTCGGAGTAACAGGCGTAAGTAAGTACGTAATGGACCAAAGTGAAAATAAATTACAAAGAAAAAAATGTGTAATAACTGTTAATCAATTGTTTGAAATAACTAGATATAGAAAAGAAGTTATGCAATGACCTAATGCCGTATGAAACATTATCGAGATAATGACACTTTATAGAACACATGTAACTATTCGCTTCGTGGATATAAAGAACGGAATAATTAGATTTTGTAACAGCCAAATGATAATTATGGAAAAATAATGAGGGAATGATTAAACCTCAGATTTATGTGATAATATACGTACAATGGTTTTTATCACCCTGCTCTTTTATGCATTACATACATAGAAATAGTACACATGGTAACCCTGTTAATTATGTGAATATACTTTCAAAATAACGTTAAGTCTCATTTAGACAACGGTATAATCCATAAAATTTTGGTAGTCAAGCGATTCAAATTATGCCATTTCTATACAAACATATGATTGTACAGCTTGATAATAAATTCATTAAGAGACCCCAAAGCTGAAATTCTTGGTTTAAATGTTTAAATGAGAACTATGTATCAATAAATTATCAAATGTTTTGAGTAATTTTTAATGTTATTAGTTGAATTCATGAGTCGATCTAAGTTAGACCACAGGAAGTGCTGGACGGCCGTTTTGTACTAGTACGGGAGTTCTCAACAGTGCACATCCACGAACCCAGGACCTATCAGTCTTACGCATGAACGCCTAATCTTTAGACCACTGAGCCGGTATCCAACGGTGTTAATGTCTAACTACAATCAACCCATGTTCTTGCTCAACCCTTCATTCATTGTGTGTTAAATAATTGTCTCCACCCGACACCGATTAGACTTTATTGGTCACCGCTTCTCACTAGAACTCTAGGAAATTCATCTTGAAGCTAGTCACTAGTAAGCACATGACTGTTATCAAGATGAGGTGTTGTAGAGATTGTATCAATTTTAATAGTTGAATTCATCGCGGATGCACACCACTGAGGAGTCATACACTAGGACAAAATGGGCTCATGAACTCAACTATTAAAATTGCTACAATCTCTACAAATCCCCGTTCTAATAATTTTTTTAATACTTGAAAACAGTTTTGATCACATAATATTTCCCACTTTTTCATTGAAGCATTTTATATCAATTAAGACATGAAAAAAAAACACATCTAAACTTAATTACTGAGTTCTGAACAGGGATTTAAGTCAGATCGTATGTGTGTTTATGGGCTACACATATTAGGTTGATTGAAATAAATAGAAGTCAAATTTAAGACTAAATAGTTGGTAATCTGGTATTTTTGATAATAAGTTATTGTTAAACTGGTTAAATTTATTTTTCCCCAGTTATATTATCATTTTCTTTCAAGCATCAAAATTATTATTGTAAAGCAGTGACATTTTGTTCTATGAACTCATTTGCAACAGTTTCTACAGTTAAACTGTTTTCTGATGAATAGTTTAAATATACATATTTGCTGATAGACAAAATGTGAATTGAGCAACAGTTGCTTTGTTACTATTGTATTTAATTCATTGTCTCATTAATATGATCAGCTTTGTACTATAGATTTTAGTTACTGCAAGAAAAAAAGATACTTCGGATATAAAGACTGATGTAATTGAAATACACCACATTTAACAATCAGATCATTCACTTAATGGTCATTTTAGGCAAAAAACGAAGAATTATCAAATAGCGATAAGAGAATTTATATCAAAAAGCATAAATTTCATTGTGATAACATCTTTGGACAGTGAAAATGAGACTAAAAATTACCAGAGTAGGTTCAAAGTCAGAACATTTTAAGAGAGCATAACTATTTGTGCTTAAACTTGAAAAAAAAACTGATAATAGTCTTTCTATGAAAAGAACAGTGTGCTTAATTTAAGACTAATCCTACAACATGTTCCTATTATATGTTTGGATGAAACGCCAACTCCTTTTGTAATACATCAAACAAATAAATGCAGTGATGAGAATAACTAGACCTACCTCATTTCGCTTTTAATATCATCCAATGGTTTTGAATTAGGGATGTTAGAATATTTATTTCTCCGATTGTTCGTTTCCTTATTATCTTCCAAATCCCATATTTGTAATGGATCATCAGATAATGCCATGCCTTTTGACAACATCATCTGAGATTCGTGTTCATCCAACGCTATATCCCCATAGTATGCAGCTATAAGTGGAAAAAATGTATACAAGAGACTAAACTAAGCAGTAATTGAATACGAAAGTGAAGAGTAGTTCAAAATAAATACAGCACATGTTTAGTGTGTTACACATAAATTGGAAGGCTATCAAACTTGCCAAAGAACATAACCCTGTAAACAGTAACTTTGACTGATATCAAACGAATTAATAAAATCATTTAGTACACTATAAAACTCTTTAATTAGGTTGACTATATGTCAGCGATCGCACTATTAAGTACTTTTGTAGTAAGATTCTTATTAACCTGAATATTTCTGAGAAAAAATTGATATAGTGCAATAAACATTTTCTCTGTTATCATTTTCAACGAAATATGCTATCAAACAGCAAATTTGATCCATATTATACTCTTCAACAGAATTGATTAATCCTAAAAGTTTGTTGTTTCATTAGATTAATCATAATGATCGAGTTTGAAAAAAATATGATAATACTGATACGGATGGATATTCAACAGCGGTTAAACGATTACTTTTGAGATTATTTTCAGAAATATCATTATAGAATAAATGACAGGACTGTATTGAGTATCCTTTGTGAATCAATCTCATTTAAAATACCGTCGAAATCCAGATGGCAGTGGACAGATGTTTTACCCCTCATAATGCCGTACTCAGGACTCTACGAGGATAAAACCCAGTGTTTTGGAGGAGCAAATATCATGGAAAGTGCAACTCTTGGAATGTCATCTGTACAAGCTAATGTGAATGCCTGGGTGTGTGGGTGGATGAAATATAATAGTAAGAGTTTGGCTGCAGTCTTTTATTTTGAACTCAAGGCTGTGAAAAGAGATAATGGGTAATGACGGACCAATAGGAGGTTCATTGCATCATATCATTGGTCGAGTCTAAGGATGATTAATTATAGACAGAATAACAGACAAGAAGTTGTCAAGTTATAATGGAAATCCTGATTGGCGAACCTAGCATGTTGTGTAAATCAAATCGCTCAGGCTTAACAGTCATCGACATAGTGTTCAGAATACTTGGGTATTGAGGTGAATGTTTAAACATTAAAACCGAATTGGCGTAAAATTGAACAATTCTAAGTTCAATCGATTTCCGATATAGCTCGACGATCATTCAATACAACTGTTGACAATTACTTCATTATCGATAAGTGTGAACTGATCAAATTATTGCCATTTTCTGTTTTGGCATATCAATGTTCTTTTAAAGGCAGTGTTTGGAGATCCACCTGTCAACAATCTCTTTCCACTTTACATATATATAACTTTGAGATTTTGTAACCTTAAAAGATATTTGAATGGTTTGTTAAGAAAATGATTACTTTTTACTACATGGATAATTTTAAAACATGTAATAATATCTGACGTGTCTGTGTATTTGTAACTGAACATAGGATAGAATGATAATGATTATAAGGAAGAAGAATTGCATTATTATCTATCTATAATATGAATTATAGTGTTTGATTTCAAAAAGTCTGCCAAATACTTACAAGATGTTTCTTGATCCAAGTCATTTAAAATACTTGCTAACAATGTAAAGTAATGAATAATCTGTAACTTCTACCCGCAGAGAAATTTAATTTATACCTATGTTTGTATTAAAACAACTTCATATCCTTCAAATAAGTGTTTTTCATGAAGAAGGAAAACCATTTACTACGTTACAGTTCTTCTTAAATATAATTATAATTACACTTCAAGGCTTTGATACTTTATCTTGATATAAATGAACAGTAAATACTAGGCGCGTATTTAAAAATAATCGAACAAGTGGTGTATTACCGATAGGATTTTCGAATAGTGAGTGAGAAATTAATTCCCTATATGACTGCTTATATTACTAAAGAAACTATGTGTATAGTCTAGCTTGACCTATCGGTTACTAAATTCCCGTAAAGTCATACTAGACAAAGTAACCAATGTCTAAAAAATACTTGCACACGTTAGGTCTTTCAACTGTCTAGTTTTAATTTTTCTTATCGGTTATTAAATTAATGAACGGTTATTTACCAAGTATACAGAATACTCTGTTGTTCATGCTTTATAAACTTAAATCTAAAATAGGTCCATTACAAATACTAAACTAGAACCCTCATATACTTATTAATAACTATTTGATGTCATTTAAATTTCCTCCAGTGGAATTTCAGTTAACAAAATATCTATTCTGTATAGGAATCATTGCTAATCTATTAGGGCAGTTACGATTGTTGCTGCTATTCTAGTACTTGCGTGATACACGATTAATGTCACCTTACTTACTAAATGTAAAAACTTGCTCTTAAGAGTAATTACAATGAAACAAATTTACATTTAATCTTCCGTTGGAGATAAAAATCATGGCCATAATGATAAATGAATAATATTTTCAAGTGATTCGCTTTACTTCTTAGATGATGTACAAAATATATTTAATAATTTCCCACCCCTCCCTATGTTATCAATCATAAAAATTATTATGATCGTTGTGCTATCAGCAAATTGGCCATACTTAGTAAGATTAATTACTTTCATAGATGCTTATGGATGATACGTTTTAAAAGCTATTCATAGTTAAAACCATTAGCTACAACCCATTTAGCTGTGTCCTACAATACTAATATTTTCAATAAATTACTGTAGCTCTAAATAACAGAAAGGCTCATCCATCAGTCTACCGAATTATCATAGCTACATTTTACACCAAAACTTACTGAGAACATAGAATATCCAGGCAATAAAATTACTAATTTACTACGTGAAAGTGTTACAACTTTCCAAATAACTTGCAAGTAAGAAAAGGATAAGTAATAGATAAAATTCTATTCTTGGCAGACATAAGGAACCTCTGATAAAACTGCTTTTAAGTAAATTCACTATGTTATTTGTATACCCGTTTATATACAGTATTAACGCTGTCCATATCAAACACTAATAGGTGATGTTCTTTTTGGTAATGATTTTAAAACACATATTTCCATTGTACCTAAGAATAGTTTATTCATAGCGTAAGTTCCTTATAATTCATTGTTTCAATGCTGAACATATCTGAAAATTAGGGAAACGCTGTTCATAAATAACATTTCATCAAACACCTTGAGATTTAGTTGGGTTTACGATATTAATCATTTAGTTGGTTAAAGCACTTTTTTTTGTTATTATTAATAACTTTATACATTTACATCTATATCAACCACCTCCTTGTATAGTTGCACCAGAGATATTATCTAAACTGACAAAAAACTTTTCTTCACTACGAAAGCTTGAATTAAAGAAGGTTAAGTAATCAAAAATGTCCATATATATTTCCGATTGGTTCATGTAATAGAATAATTGAAGCATGAATTCATTCATTTTCACATGTAGTTGATAACTAAGAATATAACTATGATATGATCAACTTATTCTTTCCTGTCAATACAGTAGTGAATTTTCTTCCCAACAATTAGTCACCCTTTGGATAAAGACTAAATCGAAAGTGCAAATGATTAAAATTTCTAATAACAAATTTATCAATACAGAAACTTAAAAATGTAAATGAACCCTTCTGTTCTTCCTTCATCTAACCGATCAATAATAATTTATGAATCGTGCAATCAAAAATCTTCTAGTGCATATTACATAAGTCATCGTTTTAAGATTATATAACCATTTAAGAGTGTGTGTGTGTGTTCCTTTCAGTGGCTTCAATCAAACATGTTAATCGTGATGTAATGAAATTCTGAAAATTTCAAAATTGTAAAGCAAAAGCATTCTTTACTATCTCCCTTAAATGGTCAATATGATGTGACAAAATAATTTCTTTTATACGTTCTGTTATGACATAGATCATCATATTTCGTCAACATTTCATCGACTATTCTATTTGTTATAATTTTTATCGAATTTAAGAAAGTACTAAATTTTTTGATGTTTTCGTTAAGATGGCTACGAAAAGCACGGCAAAGCCTTCAAAGGCTCTAAAGGAGTCTAAGAGACTCCGTCTAATCAGTACCTGATAGAACACTCTAGAAAGTTAATGTGGCATGTTATGATTGAACATTTGCATAACTTTCCTCCTTGCGGATTGGTTGGATTATAATAATGTTATAGCCAAGACTAAAAATCACAAATACTCCTGTTTTTATATGCATCTCTGATTCTTACCCAATAATCGTTTCCCCTGCCTCTTCCGTGTTTTCATATGCGACTGTGGAGTTCTATATGTTCGAGTGCGGTTAGTTGTATACTCTACTGTGTCATAATCAAGTAGAGAACGTAACAGTTTAGCAAGCAAGAAAACTGATGGTAACTTCATTTCCCTCTTTTCTGAAGTTGTAATTTTAATGTTATCCAACTAATTAAATATTTTTAATGCCAGTACCTTTTAAAATTCAACCAATTTCTAATTTAATACTAAAAGAAAATACAAATGACTCCTTAAAAGTCACTTGTATTTATGGAATATTTTAATATGGCATTGTAATATTATCGAATAAAAACTAAAAATGGAATAACCTTCTGAAAGACTAGAATGCAAGATCTAACTGGTATCGTCTAACTGTTAGAGCTCGTAAACTTATACCAATCAATCTATAACCAAACCACTAATCTAAATTTTAATTAGGCTAGTTAATAAAAAATACTGGGTTTTCTGACAACAGCTTTATCCACCTGTTAATTCATAAAGAAATATTGGTGACAAATATTTAACATTTTATTAATTCATTTGACTTTTAATTATTGAATTCATGAGTTAATTGAAGCTAGACCACCATGGAGAACCTGGGAACCCTGGATGGCCGTTTCTTCCTATTGTAGATTTCTTCAGCATTGCGTATCCACAACTCCGCCCCTCTAGATTCGAACCCAAGACCTATCGGTCTTGCGCGTGAACGCTTAACCTCTAGACCACTGAGCCGGTATCCAACGCTGTTAATGTTGTTGTTGTTGATGATAATAAAATGTTTTGTCGATGTCTGGTTATTTCAACCTATTTCGTGTCTGATGTAACAATCAACATATAGATAAATAAT